TTAGGAACTTTTTCCTAATGTCCAACCTAAAACTCCCTTGCTGCAGTTTAAGCCCATTGCTTCTTGCTCTATCCTCAGAGGTCAAGATGAACAAGTTTTCTCCCTCCTCCTTATGACACCCTTTTAGATACCTGAAAACGGCTATCATGTCCCCCCTCCGTCTTCTCTTTTCTAAACTATACAAACCCAAGAAGTTTGGTGGGACATTTTCGTTCCTCTTGCTCCTCCTCTTCCTGGCGATGGCTACCCCACCAGGTTATTTCGAAATCATAACTCCCGAGATAACCACTTCAAAATTAGCCTATTCCTCGTCACAAGCAGGAGTTTGTGTTTCAAAATAACAAGCCCCTTATTTCAAAATAGTGGGCTTGGTCGCGGGGACGCTCGCTGTGTTATTTCAGAATAACTCCCCAGTGTAGACATGCCCACCGTCACCTGCCAGCTGGTAGGAGGGGCAGAGTAGGGGAGGAGTTTAATAGGGAATATTGTGATCCTGTCTCTGGGGATATGTCTAGACTGCAGGTTTCTTTCGGAAGAAGCTTTTTCCGGAAGAGATCTTCCGAAAAAATTTCTTCCGAAAGAAAGGGTCCACGCAGCAAAAGTACGAGAACGCGATGTGTTTTTTTGAAAGAGAGTACGTCTAGACGACAAGCTTCTTTCGAAAGAGGTTTTTCGAAAGATACTTTCGAAAAAGCCTCTTTCGAAAAAGAGCATCTAGACTACAACCAGTACTTTCGAAAAAGCGAGCCGCCTTTTTGAAAGAGATCATCCAGGCAGTCTGGATGCTCTCTTTCAAAAAAGCACAGTTTGCATTCCATAGCACCTTTTTTCAAAAGAGTACTTTCAAAAAAAGGCGTTCTTCCTTGTAAAATGAGGTTTACTGCGATCAAAAACACTGCCGTGTTCTTTCGATTTACTTCCCAAAGAACGTGGCAGCAGTCTAGATGCAGGTAAAGATTTTTTGAAAAAAGGCCAACTTTTTCGAAAAATCCCTGTAGTCTAGATACAACCAGAGATGTCCACACTCACTGGACGCTATCTTGCATTTAAGTTCTGACTGCTGTGGAGGGAGTGACCACCAGGGCATCTGTGCTTTTTCCTGGAGGCCGCTTCTTTCGAAAAAAAAAACACCCCTCTTCCCCATCCACATATGCCTTTTTCCAAAAGAGCTCTTTTGGGGAAAGGCTCCTTCCTCATAGAAAGGTTTACCGCTGTCAGCAAAACCCCTACGTTCTTCCAATGGTCCGTTGAACGAATGCAATTGCAGTGTGGACATGTGTGGTTTTTTCGCAAAAACGGCTGTTTTTCTGGAAAAACTCTGCAGTGTAGACATACCTTGGGTGTGTCTACACTGGCCCCCTTTTCCGGAAAAGGGATGCAGATGAGACAAGTCGGAATTGCAAAGGCAGCGGGGATTTAAATTTTCCCTGCTTCATTTGCATGAACATGGCTGCTGCTTTTTTCCGGCTCGGGGCTTTGCCGGCAAAAAGCGCCAGTCTAGATCAGAAAATAAAGCCTTTTCTGAAAGATCCCTTATTCCTCTTAAAATCAGGAATAAGGGACCTTTCGGAAAAGGCTTTATTTTCCATAAGATCCCCATCTAAACTGGCGCTTTTTTCCAGCAAAGTCCGGAGCCGGAAAAAAGTGGCCCCCAGCAAAAAAACATTGCCCACCCCTGTGTTTATGGGATAGTTGCCTGGTCACTTACATCCCTAATACAGTCCCGTCAATTCCCCGCGCTGCCCTGGAACCTCCCAGCGACGCTGCATCCTACGCACTGCGGGGCCAGTCCAGAAGCGACGCGGGGCGGGGGCTGCTCCTTCCAGCTGCCCACGGATGAAGGTCCTGACTTGCAGGACAAAACCCGGCATCCCCATTGCTCCAGGTGCGCACACACGACACCCAGAGGCGGGATCACCATCGCCCCGACGACGCTGAACAAGCAGAAGCGCAGTGGGAGGGACCAGGCGCGAGCTGGGAATCAGCTGTCCCTCCCCCCCACTGCACCCCAGCCTCTTACACGTCTGAAGAGCCTGCCAGCTCTTAGTACGGTTGTCTCAAAAAGGAGGTGGTCCATGAACATTTTTTGATTGGCCTGGTGGTCCGTGGACTGAAATGAGTTGAGAACCCCTAGTCGATGGAAATTCCACCGACTAGTCGATTAGTTGATCCAACGCAAGGTCACATCCCTAGAAGGCATGGGAAGAGGGGTCTGACCCTGCTCCGCCTCGCCCTCTGCCATGCCTCTGCCAGGCACCAGCAGCCCCATGCGTCAGCAGGCTGCTCCGCATGCAAGCCTCCCTCCCACCGTTCGCCACAGCTGTGTTGTGTCAGCCGAGTTGTGACACTCTTCTCTGACCCACTGGCAACAGCACAGATGGGCTGCGTGACCTGGCACCCTTCCCCCAGCCCGCTGCCCTGCGTCATCTGTGTTTATGGATCCACACCCCCACCATGGGAGCAAGCTGGCAGAACCCTGGGCAGCCGTCCCATCATGTCTCTGGAGGAGCCCCGGGGACAAGCCTGGAGAAAGAGCAGCAGCAGCAGCACAAGGGATAAGGCGTTCTGGGGTGTCCCGCTGCACAGAGAGAAGGGGACGCAGCCTGTCCGTCCCCACGGGCACAGGGAAGGGGGTCAAACGGCAGTGTGAGGACATGGTTGCTGGAGGAGGGCACCCAACCCCCAGACAGATACGACACACAGCTCAGCACCACAGGAACTAGACGATACAGCTACGATTCTATGATATTTTAGTTAGTTAGTTTAGTTTTGCCTAATGTCCTACTTAAACCGCCCTTACTGCAGTTCAAGCCCTGTCCTCAGAGGCCAAGGAGAACAATTTTTCTCCCTCCTCGTAACACCCTTTTAGGTCCTTGAAAACTGCTACCCTGTCCCCTCTCAGTCTGCTCTTTTCTTAAGAAAACAAGCCCAATTCCTTCAGCCTCCCCTCAGAGCTCATGTTCTCTAGACCTTTCATATTCTTGTTGCTCTTCTCTGGCCCTTCTCCAATTTCTCCACCTCTTTCCTGAAACGTGGGGCCCAGAACTGGACACAATCCTCCAGCTGAGGCCTCATCGGCGCAGAGCAGAGCGGAAGAACGACTCCTCGGGTCTGGCTCACCACACGCCTGTTAACGCCGCCCAGAATCAGGTTTGCTGTTTCTGCAGCAGCATCGCTCTGGTGACTCATGTTGCTTGTGGTCCCCTGGGGCCGGGAGAGGTCCAAGATGATAACTAAATACTGACCACCCCTTGGAGAAGTGGCCCCTGTTCGCTCTGCCTTTCTTTCTCCCCAGCGTTTCTGCGGCGGTGAAATCACACCGGCCCACCCGGGCGTACGTAGCTGCGCCTTACCACCTTCTCCATGGGACAGAGACGATCATTGGCAGCAGCCACCTGGTAGCAGGGTGAGGATGCTGACAGCTGTTCCCTGGTGAAAAGGATATTCTTAATGGCGCAGGCACTAAGGCTGTGTCTAGCCTGGCAAGTTTTTCCGCAAAATCAGCCGCTTTTCCGGAAAAACTTGCCAGCTGTCCCCACTGGCCGCTTGAATTTCCGCAAAAGCACTGACGATCTCCTGTAAAATCATCAGTGCTTTTGCGGAAATACTATGCTGCTCCCGTTCGGGCAAAAGTCTTTTTCCAAAAGACTTTTGCGCGAAAGGGCCAATGTAGACAGCATAGTATTGTTTTCCGCAAAAAAAGGCCCGATCACGAAAATGGCGATCGGGGCTTTTTTGCGGAAAACCGCGTCTAGATTGGCCACGGACGCTTTTCAGCAAAAAGTGCTTTTGTGGAAAAGCATCCTACCAATCTAGACGTGCTTTTCCGAAAATGCTTTTAACGGAAAACTTTTCCGTTAAAAAGCACTTTCAGAAATTCATGCCAGTGTAGACGTAGCCTAAGTGTTACATTCCCAGTGTGGACGGTCGCTAGGGCGAGAGGTTGCAAGCTCAGTATGGTTAGCCTGGCCTTTCTCCTTCCCAGGAAGTTAAGCGGGGCCCCTCGCTCTTGACTGGGCCAGATCCTGAAAGGTTTTGAGCTCCTGCCGCTTTGCACCAGCTTTGATCCAGTGTAAGCGCCACCCCTTTTCCCTAGCACGAGGCCCGGGGTTCTCCTTTGGCGTGCCCGGGCCCTGCTGATGTGCATACGCATTGGGCCGTAGCACGTGCTCATGAAACCCAGACCCGTGGCAAGTGAGCACCACGGCCCACGATGGAATTCACACTGAGGAAAGTAGCAGGAGTCCAAGGAAGGCCAGGTCCCCAGCGGGCCCGATCAAGGTGAATTTCACCCTTTCTCAGCATTTTGCCTTAAGGAGCCCCTAGCATGTTTTATAAGCATTTAGGTTTGCCTCAGTGTTCCAGCAGGGCAAAATTGCTCCTCCCAGGACTGTTGGGTCCTGCAGGGGCTGCTGTTTGCACGTAGCTGAAAAGTTCCTGGAGAGGAAAGATGCTGCATTATGACTGAGGACCCTCTTTCAAGAGTGGTCCAGCCGGCGTACTTGAGAGGCAGGTGCGGATGCCGGTCAGACATCTAACTGTGCAATGCCGCGTCACGGAGAGAAATCTCTTCCTCGTCCTAGCTGGCAATCAGTTTAGGACCTCCTCGTACCATGTGCTGGCATTTGTAGCCTCTGTGGCTGCTCTTCTCCATACAACCGTCAAAGCCTTTTTAGTTTGTGTGACCTGTTTGCGTCCATCATATCCTGCAGCGGTGAGTTCCGTGGGTTATCGGTAAATATACACTTGTGTGTGTGAGTGCACGTGAGATGAAAGAAATGAAGCACTAGGCTTTATCCATTTGACACTGGTTGCCAAACAGGAAACGGCTCCAGAAATTATCATGTCCTGAATGTTCTCTCCCCAATGCCTTTTGGCTTTGACAGCCGTTGGGTTTCTGAGCCGGAGGCATTTTACTAGATCTGAAATTGACCAGCTTTCTTGCACTGTGAGGCATTCAGTCCATCGCTGCCTGATAGGATCTTTCTTTTGTTTCCCAGGTGATCGAGGCCAGAAAGGAGAGAAGGGAGACCGAGGTGGCGAAATAGGTAAGCAGCCGCTCTCCAGGGCTTGCTTCCTGCTGTGCTTCTCCCAAGGCGGGTCTGTAGGCCCTGTTGATGCTCTGTTGTAAATACTGCTATGGGTACAGGCATGAGGAATTGCTTCTTTATTCTCCCCCTAACATGGGAGGGTACATCTACACAGCAAGATTATTTCAAAGTGACTAGTGTTCTTTTGAGGTAGCTTAGTCCACATTGACGCAGCAGGCAGCTATTTCAAAATAATGTCGAAATGCTGTCAAGCTGGAGGAGTTCTTACTCCGACTCCAGGAACCCTGAGGCTGTGTCTAGACTGGCAAGTTTTTCCGCAAAATCATGTGATTTTGCAGAAAAACTTGCCAGCTGTCTACACTGGCCGCTTGAATTTCCGGAAGAACACTGACGATCTTTTGCGGAAAAGCATCCTGCCAATCCAAACGTGCTTTTCCGAAAATGCTTTTAACGGAAAACTTTTCCGTTAAAAAGCACTTTCAGAAATTCATGCCAGTGTAGATGTGCAAGGAATAAGGGAAGTCGGAAGAGAAAATCCTGGGTGTTTACCTGGTTCCACAGGGGAGCTGTCAGGCCTGGAACAGAAAGACAAGGTGTCGTACTGCTGCCCGCAGCCTGTTAGGGCCAAAAAACCTCAAAGGCATTTCTTAAAGGGGCCATGCTAGGGTTTTTTTTTTTTTTTAATTTTTATTTTTTTTATTTATAACTCTCGGGGTCCTTTTTCTTTTCTTTTTTTCTCAACAACTCTGGTCTCCCTCTTTTTTTTCTCAACAGAGGTTTTTTGTGGGTGGGAGGGTGTTCAGTATTTTTGGTTAAACCATCTGGCAACCCTAGACGCAATTGACATCGCTTAGTTTGTGTAGCTTCTTTCGAGTGAAGCCCTGCTGTGTAGACGCACTACGGGTGCCTGCACTGCGGGTTTTGAGGCCCACACAGCCCCCTTCGAGGCCTGCCCTGCCAGCAGGGGCCACGGTTCCTTGGAGGCCGGCAGAATGAGGTCAGCCTATTCTGTGCCACTGAGGCACAGAGGGAAGGGGGTGGATGGGGACGGGGACGGGGTTCCCAGGAAGGAGCGGGGCCGAATTGGCCCAAGGTGATGCTGGGGCCCGCACCTAGAAGAAAGGTTGTGAATGGGGCACGGTCTCAGGAGAAGGGCGTGGCTTTGGGTGGAAGGGGCGGAGCTTCGGCTGCCTTCCCCCACCACCCGCGTTCCCAACGTTCTGCCCTGGCTGGGGGGCTGGCCGGACCGGGACACTCACCTCC